TTTTTTTTTGCCCGGCTATCTGGGGCCTCCGAGTCCGTCCCCCTTGGGAGTCTGTCTGTCCCCCGGAAACGTGCGGGAATCTTCCGGAGTTGAGAAAGAACTCCGAGAGGTTAACGGAGCGCTAGTTAGAGGCCGGGGCCTCCAGTCTCGGCCTCCCACCGGCCAGGAAAAACATGCAGAGGTTCACGGAGCCTTAGAGGCCAGGGCCTCCAGTCTGGGCCTCCCGCCGGCCGGGAAAAATCGTGCAGAGGTTCACGGAGCGCTAGTTAGAGGCCAGGGCCTCCAGTCTCGGCCTCCCGCCATCCGGGAAAAACGTGCAGAGGCCAACGGAGTGTTAGAGGCCAGGGCCTCCAGTCTCAGCCTCCCACCGGCCGGGAAAAAACATGCAGAGGCTAACAGAGCGCTAGTTAGAGGCCAGGGCCTCCAGTTTGGGCCTCCCACCGGCCAGGAAAAACGTGCAGAGGTTCACGGAGCCTTAGAGGCCAGGACCTCCAGTCTCAGCCTCCCGCTGGCCGGGAAAAAACCTGCAGAGGTTAATGGAGCGCTAGTTAGAGGTTAGGGCCTCCAGTCTGGGCCTCCTGCCGGCCAGGAAAAAATGTGCAGAGGCTAACAGTGCTAGTTAGAGGCCAGGACCTCCAGTCTCAGCCTCCCGCCGGCCAGGAAAAAACGTGCAGAGGTTAACGGAGCGCTAGTTAGAGGCCAAGGCCTCCAGTCTCGGACTCCCGCCAGCCGGGAAAAACGTGCAGAGGTTAACAGAGCGCTAGTTAGAGGCCAGGGCCTCCAGTCTCGGCCTCCAGCCGGCCAGGATAAACCTGCAGAGGTTCACGGAGAGTTAGAGGCCAGGGCCTCCAGTCTCGGCCTCCCGCTGTCCGGGAAAAAACATGCAGAGGCTAACGGAGCGCTAGTTAGAGGCCAGGGCCTCCAGTCTCGGCCTCCCGCCGGCCGGGAAAAACGTGCAGAGGCTAACGGAGCCTTAGAGGCCGGGGCCTCCAGTCTCGGCCTCCCGACCGGCCTCTCTCTGTGTGCTCGGCCTCCAGGCGCAACGTGCTCAGCCTGTCGCCCGGGATC